AGTATCAAATATCTGATCACCCAGAGTGTCACTTCTCACAAGTACTTGATCTATTGGTGGTGCTATTTCACGTATTAATGTTGCCACCTCATGCCATGAATTAGCAGGGCCCTCTGTATTAACAGATGCAAGGTCACTAGTGTCTTTAAGATTAATCAAACTGGAGAACCAATTTAGGAAGCCCATCCTTATGATTTTATCTCTTTAAAACCCCACTCTCAGTACCAAATGTGTTAGACTGGGTTTTCTAGGGAAACAAAAACGAGTAAAGCTTATATATATGTATATATAGAGAGAAATTTATCTTAGGAAAATGGCTCACACACTTATAGAAGCTGGCAGGTCCAAAATTCCTGGATCAAACGTCAAGCTGGAGGCTTTTCCTGGCTCTTACAACCGCAGGGGCTGAGGAGCTCAAGGCTGGCAGGCAGTACACTGGCAGTTGACTCCAACGAATGACAAATCCAAGATCTCCAGACTGAATGGTGGACTGTTCACTCACGGACAGTTGTAGGCAGCACAACAGAATCCTGATCCACAGAAGAATGTCTGTCTTCCCAGGATGTCCTTGGATATACTGGAAGCAGGCCACACCCCTAGGGAAACTCCCTTTCAACAGATTGGCCACTCAGAACATAGTCATCTGGATCAGGGGAACAACCACACCACAACACCTCAAACCACACAGAATTGTGGTCCAGCCAAGTTGACACACAGCTCCAACTATCACACATGGCTTGGGTCAAGTGAACCTTAGTCCTCCAAGTGACATCTTTGCTTTCCAACACTTTAAAGAGGTCTTTTGCAGCAGATTTACCCAGTGCAGTACATTGTTTGATTTCATGACTGCTGCTTGCTTCCATGGGTGTTGATTGTCTTTCCAAGTAAAATGAAATCCTTGAGAACTTCAATATTTTCTCTTAGTATAATGTTGCTTATTGGTCCAGTTGTGAAAATTTTTGTTTTCTTTATGTTGAGTTGTAATCCATACTGAAGGTTGTACTCTTTGATCTTCATCAGTGAGTGTTTCAAGTCCTCTTTACTTTCACCAAGAAAAGTTTCATCTGCATATCTCAGGTTGTTAATGAGTGTTCCTCCAATCCTGATGCTGCACTCCTTCACATAGTCCAGTTCCTTCGATTATTCACTCAGCATACAGATTGAATAAATATGGTGAAAGGACACAGCCTTGACACACACCTTTTCTGATTTTAAACCATGCAGTCCTCTTGTTCTATTTGAATAATTGCCTCTTAGTTTTTGCACAGGTTCCATATGAGCACAATTAAGTGTTATGGAATTCCCATTTTTCCCAGTGACTTTCCATAACTTGTTATGATCTATGCAGTTGAATGCTTTTTGTATAATCAGTAAAACACAAGGAAACATCTTTCTGGTATTTCTGCTTTCAGCCAAGATCCATCTGACATCAGCAATGATACCTCTCATTATATATCCTCTTCTGAATCTAGCTTGAATTTCTAACAGTTCCCTGTTGATGTACTGCTGCAACTGTTTTTGGATTACTTTAGTAATTTTATTGCTATGTGATACTAATGATATTGTGCAATAATTTCCTCATTTTGTTGGATAACCTTTCTTTAAAATGGACATAAATATAGACCTCTTCTAGTCAGCTGGTCAGGTAGCTGTCTTCCAAATTTCTTTCTTTTTATAAAAAAATTTTTTATTGTGATTTGGGTGAAAGTTTACAGGGCAAATTCATTTTCCATACAACATTTCATATACATTTTGTTTCATGACATTGACTGCCATTCCTCACAGCATAGCAGCTTTCTTCCCATTTTCTCCCCATAGGAACCACTTCCCTGTGTCCTTCCCTCTCATGTACTCCCATCCCCCCAAGCTGCCTCCCTGTGCAAACATTGCCCTTCTGTTCTCCCGTGATTGAGTGCTCCAAGGAGTGTATCCACCTGATATAAATGTTCACACCATATGCCTGTCTGTTGTTTGGCTGGAGGCCACAGGAATGTATTCCAAATTTCTTGACATAGACAAATGAGCACTTACAGTATTACAAATGTTAGTTTCAGCATCTCAATTGGTATTCTCTGTCAATTCCTAGAGCCTTGTTTTTTGCCAGTGCTTTCAGTGCAGCTTGGACTTCTTGCTTCATAGCATTGTTTCTTGACCATATTCTACCTCCTAAATGGCTGAACATTGACCAGTTCTTTGACTTATTTCACTCAGCATAATGTCCTTCAAGTTCATCCATGTTATGAGGTATTTCATGGATTCTTTATTATTCTTTAATGTTGCATAGTATTCCATTGTGTATATGTCCAATAAGTTGGTTATCCATTCATCTACTGATGGGCATTTAGGTTGTTTCTCTCTCTTTGCTATTGTGAATGGTGTTGCATTGAACATGGGTGTGCATATATCTGTGTCCTGGCTTTCACTTCTTTAGGATATATACCTAGTATTGGAATTGCTAGATCAATTGATACATCTGTTTACAACTTTTTAAGGACTTGCTGTACTATTTTCCACAGTGGTTGTGCCATTTCATAGTCACACCAGCAGTGTATGAAAGAGCCAATCCACACCCTCACCGTAATTTATTTTCTGTCTTGTTGAACTTTGCTGTTATTCCAGGGTGAGATGTGCTTGTAACTATTTTAATTTTCTTCAGCTTCAACTTAAACTTGTATATGAGTGCTTGACTGTCTTTTCTGCAGTCAGCCTCTGGCCTTGTACTAACTAATGATACTAAGCTTCTTCATCATTTCTTCCCACAAATATACTCAATTGTGTGTTTCATTTGGTGAAATCCATGTGTATAGGCACTGTTTATGTTCTTTAAAAAAGGTATTTCCAATGAATAGATCATTGTTCTTACAAAATTCTATCATATTATCTCCACCCTCATTTCTGTCACCAAGTCTATTCCTAACCGCTGATTCTTCTTCATTTCTAACTTTCACATTCCAGTCACCAGTAATTACAGTGCTTCTTGATTGCATGTTTAATCAATGTCACATTACTGAAGTTGGTTAAAATCTTCAATTTCTTCATCTTTGGCATTTGTGGTGGTTGGTGCATAAATTTGAATAATAGTTGTATTAACTGGTCTTCTTTGTGAGCATATGGATATCATCCTGTCACTGATGGTGGTGTATTTCAGGACTGATTTTGAAGTGTTCTTTTTGGTGATGAATGTGATGGTGCTCTTTTTCAGTTTGTCATTCTCAGCATAGTAGATCAGTTCACTAATGCATAGGATATCAATCTTCAAGCATTCTATTTCATTTTTTGACAACTTCTAATTTTCCTAGATTCATACTTGGAATATTCCATGTCCCAATTACTAATGGATGTTTGCAGCTGTTTTTTCTCATTTTCAGTCATGTCACATCAGTAATTGAAGATCCCAAAAGCTTTACTCCATTAAACACTTTTTTTTTTTTAGAAGTAGATCCCTAGGTCCTTCTTTCTACTCTGTCTTAAGTCCAGAAGCTTCACTGAAACCTGTCTTCCATGGGTGACTCTGCTGGTATTTGAAATACTGGTAGTATTCTTCCTGTATCACAGCAACACACAAACCAGCAAAATATGACAAAGTAACAGACAAGAGATTGAGATCTTACACACTTCTACTATTGGTTATAATCAATATGGATATTGATTATTAGATGTTTCTACATAATGTATTATAGATATCACTAATGTTTAAATTGTAGTGACTTCTTTCTTACTCCTGTATCTATTCAGAAAACTCTATAGATTGTTCTATCACAAAGGTTAAGATTTTCCTTTCCACCTTATTTCCTTTCCACGTTATTTCCTTTCCACCTTATTTCCTTTCCATCACTTCTTTGTAATTCACTTCTTCGCTATGAGCATTATTTTACTATTGTCCTTTCAGCTTATCCCTTTGCAGTTTATTTTTTCAATATTCACCAGATTAATATATTTTTACTCATGTTAATACCTACTTCTCAAAATACTTCTGTGGTTCTAATCCAAACTCTTTCTTCTAACATTTAAAGTCCTTTAGGATTAAATCCCACCTTATTTCTTTACCTCCTCCCTTAATTTCCCCTCCTAGTTAAATGTTAAATGATCTCACTCTGTTCCTCTAGCATATCCTACTTATAGCCTTTGCTCAAGCTCCTGGAATACTCAAAACTTTTCTGTATCGAGTTGTCTGACTTCAACTTAATGTCTGAACAGATCTTCCCAATTCATTTTCTGAATTTCTATGGAATTTATTTTCTCTGGGATTTCATCTTAAACTCCAGAATACACATATTTTGTGTAATACTGAACTTTATCTAACTTAAATATATTAATACATGATACGGTAATGCATGAATTGTCCAATCCAGGCTTAAATAATTGAATGATTTTAAATATCCTAGGAGAGGCTAAAACTAGCTAAATAAAGGAATCCTTTGCTAACCTTTAGTAAAGAGCATTACTTCATTAAAGAAATAAATATCTGTTTTTAATTTGTGTTATAAATCTGAATTTGAATATGAAATTTGTTGAATAGAAGATTCACTGTGTTATGATGTTAGTGTAAAGACGTTATCATTGATATTTTGATCTAAAATACATGAGTTTTATCCAGAAGATCCAAGTAGGATTTTTAAAAATGTATGTATGTTTATCTTAATATGAGAATGCTGTGAGAATAGGAGACTGTATTTTCTAATATTAAATTCTAGATGTCAACCACCATGGGTTGATTTTTAAAATGATGTTAAAAATCTTTATAAAAATCATGGGCTACATTATAATGCAAGTCTCATTTTCTTAAATAAAAATACATTTTTAAACTAATGCTGCAAAAGGTGAATATTTGAATAAAACAGTAAAACTTAGTGTAGATTGGAGAAGAATATGGCTTTTCAGTAATGTGTATGGCACTCCTAAATATAACTGTCTGAAAAACTTTCATTTAAAAAGAGTTTTGAATTGTCCGCTGAAACATCAGCAACTTATTGGCCTTTTTTTTCTTTTCTTTGGATTAGGAAAATATATTGGAAAGGATTCATTTTCACATAGTGCCAAGCAGAGATGCAGACATGTGTACTTCTAAGTCTTGTATTACTCACCAGAAGTTTGCTATGACTCTGTATGAACAGGTACGACAGTTTAACTATTTTACTAGATATTTATTTTTTATGATTTATAAATTAAACATATGTTTTTATCTATAGTGTGTGTGTCGTAGCTGTGGAGCATCATCAGATCCTCTACCGTTTACAGAATTTGTGCGGTACATTTCTACAACAGCCCTATGGTAAGAATCCATTAAAGCATATTTATAAATGCTGTTAATGACACATTTACATACATGAGCATTTATCCTGTAAAAGTATGATATACATGAATTTGCACTCTCTGAGGCTAATAAATAAGATACTAGTATGGATGGTTCTCACTTCTTGCCATTGAGTAGGATCTGACTCATAGCAACCTCTCCATGGGTTTCCAAGGTGGTATTGCTACGGAAGTAGATTGCCCAGTCTTCCTTCTGAGGAGTGGATGGTGGGTTTGAACTGCCAGCCTTCTGGTTAACAGTCAAATGTCTTAGGCACTGTGCCACCAGAACTCCCTAGATGGTTCTTAGTATGAGATGGTTCTAGGTTACCCTAATATCTGTACCACTTAATGTTGCTTTTACTATCTACTTATAAGAAGTATTTGGAACTGTGAAGGGGGGCTTAAAATGACAAGATGAATGGTAAATGGAACTGCACATGGTTTCTTCATTACTACTAAGGTGTTCCTTTATAATGACTGTGTTTCATGTCAGCTTTGTTTCACAGTGATGTAAGTTTGGGTAAGCAGAAAAGGAAAAAAAAAAAAAAAGTCGAAATAATCCTCAGTTAGATTATTGCATTTGTGGCTTCAAAATTCACCTTCAGTAAAAATTTGTCACACTTGTCTACCTTACCTCCTCCTTTTTTTCCTTCCTTCTCTCCTATCCTCTTTCTACCTTTCTCCACTAACTCACTCCTTCCCTTTCTCCCTCCTTCCCTTTCTTTTTTCCTTTCTTCCATCCTTTCCTTTCCTATCCGTGAAAACTTAGCTAGCTAGGAATACAAGCCTAGTCAATCCATAGACTTGACTTTATAACGATTAAACACGGGCAGAACACCAACAGGGATTTAAGAGTGTAAATGCATTATATATCACAAACATTGAATAAGATAGTAAGTGTTGGCAGAAATTTTAATACAAAGTGCATAATATGGATAAAAAAACAGAAACCAAACTCACTGCCATCAAGTCGATTCTGACTCATAGTGACCCCCTTTGGGTTTCCAAGGTGGTAAATCTTTATGGAAGTAGATTGCCCAGTCTTCCTTCTGCAGAGTGGCTGGTGGGTTTGAACTGCCAACCTTCTCGTTAGTAGTCAAATACCTTAGGTGCTACATCACCAGAGCTCCTTATTCATTGTCCAGCTTTCATATACATATGAGGCAAATGATGGATAGTATGAATATGTATTTATCAATTAGAGTATGTCAGTATAACAGTTGATAAATCAAACTGATTTTTATGAATATGTAGTGTGAATATCTTACATTCATCCATTTCATTATTTTATTAAACTTCATGACCTTTTTTGGTTGTGGTACATCATTTCTTGAAGATAGTTAAATAACTATTTGGGTGTGTTTAATGTATTTCTCACATAAAGAGAGTTTGGAAAACATTGGTGTAGAGAAACATTCCCTAAACTTAAGTCAGTTTGTAGGCTCATTCCTTCTCTCTTTTTGTGAAAAGCAGAATGGTGTTTGAATAAGGATAGAGTACAAAATAAAATGTAAAATTTCAACTCTACTTTGAAACTTTTAAAATAAAATTATATTGTTGTGATGCAATATATTAAAAAAGAACAAGATCCCCATTGAACTCTGCCTGGCCCACACTGCAGATTAGATTGCAGGGTACCAAAATTTGAATTCTGTCATAATCTCTTTCATATTGGTAGTAAAACTTGAATCCTAATTATTAAATGCTTACTGTGTTCCAGGATTTATGTAAATTGTCCATTTTAATTTTAACAAAAACACTATGTTATTGATGAAGAAATAGGTTTAATGAGGTTGACCTGCTAAATGGATAAATGAAGATTGAAACCCAGGTCTATCAGACTGTAAAAACTTGTCTTCTCACAAAATTGCTGCTCTGATGCTGTCAGTTTTTTAAAACCCTATGCATAGTGTGAGTGAACTTACCAGATTTAATGTTCTACTATATTTGTCTTTGGGAGCTCTGGTAGCGTAGTGCCTAAAGCACTTGACTGCTAACCAGAAGGGTGGCGGTTCAAACCCACCAGCCACTCCTCGGAAGGAAGATGGGGCAGTCTACTTCTGTAGTGATACTGCCTCGGAAACCCAAGGAGGGGTCGTTATGAGTCGGGTCTGACTCAATGCAATGGCACATCACAACAACAACATATTTGTCTTTGACAAATGACAAAGATTTCATTTTACTTGGCTCCACAGTCAGCCAGCACCCATGGAAGTAGCAGTCAAGAAATCAAACAATGTATTGTATTGGGTAAATCTGCTTCAGAAGACCTCTTTAAATTATTAAAGAGCAAAGATGTCACCTTGAGAACTAAAGTGGGCCTGACCTAAGCCATGGGATTTTCATTCAGCTCATACGCATATGAAAACTGGACAGTGAATAAGGAAGACCAAAGAAGAATTGATGCTGTTGAATTATGGTGTTGGCAAAGAATATTGAATATACCATGGACTGCCAGAAGAATGAACAAGTCTGTCCTGGAAGAAGTATAGCCAGAATGCTCCTTAGAATTATGGATGGCAAGGCTCGTCTCAAATATTTTGGGCATATTATCAGGTGGGATCAATAAAGTAGAGGATCAGCGGAAAAGACCGAAGACTCAACAGGACGGATGTTTCTGCAACAGTGAGCTCAAAGAGCAATGGTTATGAGGGGGCCACAGGACAGGGCAGCATTTCATTCTGTTATACATAGAGTCTCTGAGGTGAATTCATAGGCTGTGAAGCACGTTTGAAGAATGGATATTTTCAGTTGTTATTGAATGCTTATAGATTATTTATACAGTTTACTTGTAAAATATAATAAGCTCTGTTGTTATGTGGCATGGAGTCGGACCTGACTCATAGTGACCCTTCCTTGGGTTTCTGAGGCGGTATTGCTACGGAAGTAGATTGCCCAATCTTCCTTCCGAGGAGTGGCTGGTGGGTTTGAACTACCAGCCTTTTGATTAGCAGTCAAGTGCCTTAGGCACTATGCTACCACAGCTCCTATAATAATCTCTAGCACAGTTCTATTACTGGAGAAGAACCAGAGCATCCAGAGTAGAAGCTAGTAAAGGTGTTTCAGCTTCCTTACATTTCTTCTTGAAAATTTTTAGTTTTTTCCAGGTGCTTAGTACTTTGACATGTGAAAATGTAACTTTTAGGGGAGATTGAATAAAAAGTGGCACGGCTACTTTGTGGCTCTGTCTAGGCCTGAGTAACACAGTTAGTATTCATAATAGGAACGAAAGGCACAAGCCTCGGTTAAATGACCTTTGGTTATAATTTGTGCATTTAATCAGCAAATCACATTCTCCTAACTGAAAATCATAACTTTGTTTCTGGGAACTTTGGGCCTGAGAAAGCCTTTCCCACAATTTTGTTGTTTTTATTAGACCAGAATCAGCAAACTTGTTTATAAATATTTAATACTAAAAATTTATAAATATTTAATAAGAAATATTTTTAAAAATATATTTGACTTACTGCCTTTAGAGCATCGTACTTTTGACATGTAGTGACAAACAAGGGTATATTTTCTTTCTATTTATTATTCTTGGCTTAAATTTTTTTCAGCACTCCCCTATCAATTTGTGTAATTTTTCACTACATGGAAAATTACTTTTTTTCCAGATATAATCATGATATAAAACAGAAACAATGATACAAACCTATATTGACATTTTTCATATGTGATGTATTAGATCTGATTTAAGTTCTTAGGCCAGATTTGAGATTGCTGCTTTCTTTTGTAGCAATGAAATTGATAGAATGATGGAAAGACATGAACGCTTTAGGCCGGAAATGTTTGCAGAATTGCTACAAGCAGCAAATACCACTGATGACTATAGAAAATGTCCTGTAAGTATAAGTTGAAGAATATTATGCTTTTACCCTTGTCAGTTAAAAAATAGTCAAGTAACTGTTACCATGTAAATGCTAATGGAATTAATTTTAAGATTTCTTCTTTTCAGTATATTTCATGACTTTATACTGTGCGATCTATTTATCTTAGCACTATTTTTTTAAATCTTAACTTTGTGAAAGATTTGGGGTAGCACTCGCTGATTAATTGTTTTTGAGTTCTGAAATTTTATCACTTATAAAGAAGAAGTTACTTTTTTTTGCTTTTTCTTTCTTTCAGTAAAGTGATATGTTAGTATTTTTTCATCTAATGTTACACTTTGGGAGTTTTATTTCTACTTTTCTAAAAGTTGAATTCTTGTTTTAATATATATATATGAATACTGAAGAAAAGTACCTGGATTTAGAATAAACTTTGGCTTAAGCAATAATATAGTTTTTAAAAGTGCATTTCGAATACACTTCAGATTGTTACTTTATTATGCAAACTGTATGAGCCTCTGCCTATGATATGTATGTTTTAATAATTTTGAGACTTGTCATTTTTTTTTGTTTGTTTGTTTTTTTCAGAGTAACTGTGGCCAAAAAATAAAAATTCGTCGTGTTTTAATGAATTGCCCAGAGATTGTTACAATTGGTTTGGTCTGGGATTCTGAGCATTCTGACTTGACCGAAGATGTTGTTCGGAATCTGGCAACACATCTTTATCTTCCTGGGGTATCTCACTGTTTTCATTCTCTTCCTTTTTATTTTTAAATTCCTCTAAAACATGCTCATACATTATGGTATGCTTAATTTTGCTTTTCACAACTAAATTTTCTAAAGGAAACTAATATTCAGAAGTAACTGATAAAACTAAATTAAGTCATATCAGGCTAATTGGAATATCTATCTTGCATAAAATAGGAATGGGTTTCAATTACAGACTAAAGTATCTGATGCCCTTTACTTCTTTCACCCTGGAAAGAGTACATTTTGTGTGTGTGTGTGTGTGTGTGTATGATTGTAGGTATAAATGTTATAGTGAAACCTGTGAGAACAGAACTCTGCAGGACTGACTTGTTTTTCTGGATCTCTCAAGTTTTCCACCTTTGACAGGGTGCTGTCGTACTACTTTTCTACCACTCATTTTAGTGGAAAATGTTGGAGTTTTCTTTCTCTGACAGGTTTTTGTCTTTAACACAAATTCTGGCTTTGATAGATTTTACTGTATTAATTTAGAAAAAGTTCAGACTTACGATTTATCTACTGTACTGGCTTCTCGGTATGCTTAATACTTAATGTATTTTGAATCCGATTATGTTACAGTTAAACTAATTTTATGTTAGATAATATGTTTAATGTTATGTTCAGATAAATGATTGAGTCAAGATATAATTTATCTTACATTTTGAATTTGTGTAAAGGGTCAATTCTCTTTTATTATAGATTTGAACTAAATTGTATGGTGAATTCATCTTACTGGACTTAATCTTCCTTACAAAGAGGTTAATAATAATGATTTTGTTAACTTTGCAGTGTCAGTGTCTTCAGTGCTAAGATTTGGGCAATCTACATGGGAATTAATTTTATAATGAGTTAAATACCTAATTTATCAATTTATTGTTCCTCATTTTTTAATGATACAGTATAAAATATACACTATAATTTTTCAAACAGCTTTTTTATAGGGTTACTGATGAAAATGCCAAAAATAGTGAACTTCACCTTGTGGGTATGATCTGCTACACCAGCCGACATTATTGTGCCTTTGCTTTTCATACCAAGAGTTCCAAGTGGGTATTCTTTGATGATGCAAATGTAAAAGAGGTAAGTGACACTTTTATTAACTAGAATAATTGTGGATTTTACTTTTTAAGAATAAATGATATTAAATTATCATTACATTCAAACTTTCTTTTCTTAGGCTTTGTTTATTTTGAAGCCAAATTTTAAACAGTCCATTTCCACAATAATAAAATGGTGAATGATAAATGTCAGTATAAACTATGTAAGGAGCCTAAGGCATTTGATTGCTAACCACAAGGTTGGTGGTTCAAACCTACCAAACATTCCATGGAAGGAAGATGGGGCAGTCTGCTTTTGTAAAGATTTACTGCCTTGGAAACACAATGGGCATCGCTATGAGTAGGAACCGACTTGAAGGCAGTGGGTTTTTGTTTTTTTTTTCATACAAGTATGTACCTGAAAGTGATCTAATAGGTCCTATATTTCTAGGAGCTCTGGTAGCGTAGTGCCTAAGGCACTTGACTGCTAACCAGAAGGCTGGTGGTGGAAACCCAAGGAGGGGTCGCTGTGAGTTGGGTCTGACTTGACGGCACATAACAACAACATATATATTTCTTTCTGAGTTATTCATAGTAAGGAGCTCTGGTAGCACAGTGTTTAAAACTTTCAGCTACTAACCAAAAGGTTGGTGATTCAATCCCACCAGCTGCTCTGTGGGAGAAAGATGAAGTAGTCTGCTTCCATAAAGAGTTCCAGCTTTAGAAAACCTATGGGGCTGTTCTACTCTATCTATAGGGTTGCTATGAGTCAGAAATGACTCGATGACAGTGGATTGGTGGGCTTTGTTTAGTAATTAAAACGTCGCTTTTTTTTATGACAGTTTTTTTTTTTTTTTTTAATGTTTTGTGTGGTATGTGGAATTAGATGTATCTCTAAGGCACTGTGGTTGTGTAGTGCCTAAGGTATTTGACTGCTAACCAGGATGTTGGTGGTTCAATCCCACCTGCCACTCCATGGAAGGAAGAAGGGGCAATCTACTTGAGTAAAGATTTACCACCTCAGAAACCCAGTGGGGGTCACTGTGAGTCAAAATCAACTCACTAGCATTTTTGGTTTTTCTTACATCTTTAACTCAAACATTATAATAATTGCCTACAAAACTAGTGAATAAACTCATAGTTAGAATTGTATATCCCAGTCAAACTGTGGAGCTTTAAAAAAGGATCCAGATTCTTGTGTGTGTGTGTGTGTGTGTGTGTGTGTGTGTGAGTGAGTGAGTGATTTGGGTGAAAGTTTACAGAGCAAATTCACTTTCCATACAGCAGTTCACATACACTTTGTCTCATGACATTGACTACAATTTACCACAATGCAA